TGCCCTGGTCCCTTGTGGCCAGGGGTTGTAGGGGACAGGGCCAGGCACTCATCCTCCCCCTCGGTGGGTTGCAGAAAGAAGTGGGTGCGGAGACAGCCTCCTTCTACTCAGCCCTGCTGCGCATCCAGCCCCAGATCCTGCACTGCTGGCGGCCGATGAGGCGCACGTTCAAGGCCTACGACGAGGGCGGCTCAGGGCTCCTCAGCGTGGCCGACTTCAGGAAGGTAAGCACTGCTCTGCCGGAGCCCCCTCCTCCCTGGGACCCCTGAGTGGGCAAAGCCTACAGAGCTTCCAGAAGCCCCCTGGCCACTCCCCAGAGCCACAGGGCTCAGCCTGCCAGCAGCCCAGAGGGTACCCGCTCCCGAGCGCTGCACGGTGTGGCTGTGCAGTGGCCTGGGTCCCTGCCACACACAGTGGGCCTGTAGCCTGGGGCCTGGCCGCCATGTCACGTACACACAGCTTTCCTGTCTCCATGGTTTGCCCTGGGTCTTTGGCGTCGGGCATCCCAGCCAAGGTTCTCTACCCTCTAGGTGGCCTCCCCAGAGCTCAGAGGGGTCCAATGGGCATAGCCACAGGCAGCCTCAGCTCTCTCTGATGTTTTTCTCCCACCGGGCTGGCAGCAGGGGTCCTCCTGACCCTCTTAGAAGCCAAGTGTAATACGTAGCCTAGACATGAGACTGTCGTTTTGTCACTAGGCTGAGCTGCAAGTTTGGGCAGAATAACAGCAGCTCGCTCAGGAGGCAGGATGGCCAGAGCTGACCTCACACCTGGACCAAGGCCCCCTCACAGTACAAGGTGGCTGCTGGAACTCCAGCAGCTGTACCGTATCCTGGCACAGCAGAGGGCTTGGAGAGCAGGTGTTCTGGAAAGTGCACGTAGCATTCCCATTTGGAATCCACTGGCCAGGGATCCTGGGGGCGGTCCCGGTAGTAGGGATCCCTGTAGGGATCCCGGGTAGTCAGGCCTGTGGCGGCGCTGGAGGACAGCCAGGGCTGTGTCACAGAGGAGGAAGGGCAGGCCCTACTGGTAAGTGTCCAACGGGCCATGCCACTGCCCTGTCCCAGCAGCTCTGCGTCCCGTCCCAGCTGCCCTGGCGGGTCCACCTCAGGCACCCCACCAGGCCGAGACCCCACAGCTAGGTCTCCCTCGTGGCCCTGTCCATCTGCTCTCAGGTGCACTCGGGGGCTGCGGGGTCCTCCACTCTGGGAGGACAGGGTTGGGGTCCCCTTGCCTGGCAGCAGGCCCAGTGCCCCCAGCCCCTCCCACACACAGGTGCTGCGGCAGTACGGCATCAACCTGTCGGAGGAGGAGTTCTTCCACATCCTGGAGTACTACGACAAGGCGCTCTCCTCCAAGATCTCTTACAACGACTTCCTGCGTGCCTTCCTGCAGTAGCCCACTCCCTCAGCCCTGCTGGGACACCCCTGCGAGGGGTTTCAGAGACCTGTGGCAATGAGCCCAGAGACCAGGAGACCCAGGAGCACCTGCAAGTCCCACCTTGGCAGGCTCCGGCATCGGCTTCCCCCAACTCCTGCAGGTGGCTCTGGGCAGCCCCTGCCTGCCATGCAGGTCCCTCACTCGTTCTGAGCAAATAAAATGGTCTTTGTAGCAGTTGCCCCTGAGGAAGGGGGTTGCTTGTGGCACAGAGCCCCTGGAGTCTGGGGGTGTCTGCCACGGCTGCTGGCTGGGCATGGCCCTGCAAGGCCACAGTGCCCAGGCAGTGCCTCCTTCCCCACCGCCAGTTTGGAAGGCACCTGCTCCCTGCCACACTGCTCCACAAGGCAAGGTTTTGGCTCCTGGGCATCGGCTCTGCCCACGTGGCCCTATCCCTGACCTCCCACATCCAGCCAGGCCCTGAGTAGCAGGCCAGCAACGGGGACCCGTGACAGTGGCCCAAGAGCAGTCTCTTCCTTGGAAACAGCTGGTCTGAAGGCTTCAAGAAGTCAGGGATGGCCATTGTCCCTGCCAGCAGCCATGGGGCAGTGGTTGGTCACGTCCTGGTGAGTCCCCAGAAGGGCTTGGAACCAGCTGGAGGATGCAGGTCTAGAAGGAGGTGATAGCACAGCCTGGTCAAGGCAGGCAGCGTGGCCGTGCAGCAGGTGCATGGCCCAGAGATGGCCCCTTCCCTGGGGCCATCTCCACATGTGTCAGAGTCATAGAGCTCCAGCTGCCCAGCCAGGATGTGAGCTCCAGGTAGGGGTTTGCCCGGCCACCTGCAGGGCAGCAGGGTGCTCATGGATAGACCAGGGTGACCCCAATGAGGCAGGAGCCTGGCCCTGTGAACCCACCCAGGCCCTGCACAACAATCCAGGCTTCATGGGATGAGGAAATGGGGCCCCTGTCCACTCATAGATCAGTTGCGCAGGTCCCAGAGATGTCACCCCGCCACCCCGCAGGAATCTCACTATACGTCCAGCCGCCACCCACCAACCCAGACACCTCGAGCCAGACAGTAGGCCAGGGCACCCACGTGGCTGAGGTGCCTGGCTTCTGGCCGCTGCTGGTGGGGCCGTGAGCCACTGCAACCGTCAGGAAGGGATGGGAGCCAGGGGCTGTACCCCCAGAACGAAGGAGCCCCACCCCCAGTCAGGAGAGCCCTGGGTTGGCTGAGCCTAGGACAGGCCAGGCAGGCAGGTGAGGCGCAGGCCAGCTGCCCTGCCGCACAGGACCCCTGCAGGTTGGGTTCTCCTCAGGAGTTCTGGTGAGCCCAGAGTCACAGCCCTGAGGGCGCAGGACAGCCCTGGGGGCACAGGCCCAGGCAGCTCTAACTGGCCACCTCCTGTGGCAGCGCAAAGGGACCTCACGACTGGGGACAGCCAGTCGGGGAGGGCGACGTGGACCCGCCACATGCACCCACCCCGCGCCCACTCCCTGAACACTGCACGCCCATCCATCATGCACACTGTACTCTCCATTTGGGATCTGCTCCCCAGAGGCGCCCCCCACCTCCCCCGCATCCTTCCTCTCCCCGCAGGGCAATCCTGAGTCCAGCAGTCCACATGCAGCGTGTGGGTGCAGGTGCTTCTCTGCAGGGCATGCACCCTGCTGTGTGGCCAGCCCTCCCTGCACCACCCCCGTGTTGAGTCTTCGAGACAAGCCGGGTGTTTAATGCACGGAAGCAGGTGCCACCATATCACTGCAACTTCAGGCCCGGCCTGTGCCTCTCCGAAGCCCTCCCTGACCACCTCGTATGCTGTACTTGTTCCCCCAGGGACCCCAGGTCCGAGCCGGTCTACCCCCATGGCTGGGTAAGGCCTGCAGGCTCCAGGAACCTTCTAAAGTGCATTATGAGTTTGCAGAAGACAGGGTCTGCACCCCGTGTCCTGAGGAACCACCAAGGCACCTACGGCCCTCGTGTAGCCAGGCCCTAGCTGCCAGGCAGGTGCAGGCAACACTAGGGGAGCTGCCCACTGAGCCTGTCCATCAGGGGCCAGAGGCCTCCCCCGGAGGTCCCAGCCCCTCGAGGTCCCAGCCCCCCGAGGTCCCAGCCCCCGGAGGTCCCAGCCCCCCGAGGTCCCAGCCCCCGGAGGTCCCAGCCCCCCGAGGTCCCAGCCCCCCGAAGGTCCCAGCCCCCTGGAGGTCCCAGCCCCCTGAGGCGGGGGCCTGTGACTGCGAGCATCCAGGGGCTGGAGTCGGGTTGTGGGGAAAAGGTGGCAACGTGCTCACCTCCCCTTTCTTCCCCCCATGGGTGCACAGCATCATTAGGGCCACCCATGCTGTGCTCCTCTGGGGAGACGCCATGGGAGTGACCCCAGGTGCTAACTAAGCCCTCACACACGTCCTGGGGACCATCCCAACCCATCACAGCCTCCCCAAGGCTCCTTCAGGCCTCCTGTGCACCCCCGCTCGCTGGTTCCCCACAGGACTCACAGCCCTGTCTCAAACCCGTTCTTCCTGCCCCATCGCTGTCCCCGTGACGTGCAGCCTGTGTACCCCGTCATCCTCAGCTCACTCCTGCCCTGCTTCCCTCCACACCCCTCCCCTGTCTGCCTCTTAAACCTGTCCTAGCCACCACTTCCCAGTCCAGGGCACACCCATGAGGGTGTCCAGGGACCGTGCAGCAGGAGGATGGATGCGTGGCTGCTGAACAGGTGGGTGGAGAGGTGGTGGGTGAACAGGTGGAGGATGGGTGAATGGAACGATGCCTGCCCCTGCCCAGCGAGAGGCTGCCCAGCCCCACCCACAGCACCCAAGACCCAGGGAGGTGCCTCTGGTTCTTTGTACAAAGACTTTATTGTCTGACATGCTGGACAAAAACCTCACAGCCAAGGCCGGAGCAGGCCGCCGCCGCTGTGATGTGGCCCACGCCTCCCGGGGAGTTTGGCCATTTCTCTTTGCCACATAAAAATACACCGTCTCCTGGAGCTCCCTTAGGAAAACAGTTTGTAAAGTCTGCAGTCTGTGGATTGCGTGGAAACCAACAGAAGGGCCGTGCATCTTCCAGGCCATTACCCCCCCACCCCAGCCCACACCCCGCGTGGTCCCAGCTGGAGTCAGGCACCCCGGAAGCAGCCCATCCTGCACCAGCCCCTGCCTGTGGGGCCAGCACCCTTAGTCAGGCTCCTCCCTCTTCTGGCCTCAAGCAGGGACTGCAGCACCCCCATGGCTGGGGTCCCAGAAATGAGATCATGTTTGCAAAAGCGTGCAGAAGGCTGGGTCCCTAGCAGGTGCACAGTGAGTAGGGGACGTAAACCTGGTGATGGGGGCCCATAACGGGGTTTAGGGGTCCCACTCTTGAAAAGCAAACTCCGGGGTGGGGAGAGGCCACAAGGTCAAGGCTGTAACTATAGAGTGGGTCTCTGCCTCTCCCTGTGCCTCCCTCAGGACACCCTACCAAGGGCACGTGACTGCTCAGTCCTGGGCACCCCCAGCAGGTGTGGCCCCCATTCCTGAGACGCCCCTAAGGGAGATCCCAAGACCCAGCGGTCCAGGCCAGGAAGGCGTCGGGTGCAGAAGTCAGTCACTGCCCAAGTAAGATGGGGCCGCTTTAGCAAGGACACGCAGCATGGAGCAGTGCCGGGGTACACGGGGTCTGGGGGCACTGCCAGACCATCCTGGGGCCTCACCGTGGGGGCCAGCCGGGCAGGTGGTGGTGGGGCTCCGTGCTCATGGCCACGCAGGTGCAGCTGAGGTGGACGGGCAGGCAGTCAGGAGCTACGGGGCGTAGGCAGGTCGATGACGATGGGCGGGTTCACGGGCTGGTAGTTGACGGTGCACACAGACGCGTTCACGTAGGTGGTGCTCCCATCCGCCATGACACCATATCCTGGAGCGGAAGCGTGCACCTGTCAGGCCGGGACCCGCCCAGCACTAGGATGCCACGGGCTGGAACCCTGCAGCTCGGCCTCCTGTGTGGTACCACTGCCAAGCCTGCTGCAGAGACCATGTGCACGGCCTGCCACATGGAAGGCACATGCCCTCAGCATCGTCTTCCTCACTGCCCGTCTTCATCACCACCATCATCCTCTCCACATGCTGCTACATCGCTATCACCCTGGCCATCGCTGCCACCACACTGGTCGTCATTAGCATCGTCGCTCTTAACTGCTGTCCCTGTGTCTCCCTCAGGGAACCATCCCAAAGGAGGAAAAGCAGGCTTGGCTGTGGCCGCATGGGGCCTCGCAGGGAAAGCCTGCAGGGTTGAAGGGCCCGGCAGGACAGGGTGGCCTTCCCCACGACGGCCACTCAGCCCAGGGTGCACATCATCTAATCCACCACCAAAGCATCTCAGGCAGGCCTGCTGTATTTATTAAGCACCTACTGTGTGCCAAGCCCTGGAGATAAAGGCAACGAGATGGGGCCGCCAGCCTCAAGGGCCCAGTGTCGCCGCTGCTCAGAGCTCTTGCCCGTCCCCCATGACTTCCTGGAGCTGCCAAGGTCTCAGAAATGGCCTTCGTCTTGCTCACATTGCAGCCGCAGCTGACGCACAGCCCGGGTGCAGGTCAGAATCAGGCCCCGCCCACCCCTGGACACTGACCTTCGTGGATGTGGCCGAAGACGTGCAGCCGCGGCTGGACGCGCCTCTGCACCGTGTTCAACAGCTCCACACAGCCTACACGCTGCATCTTCTTAGGAACCCAGTCCAGGAAGCCTGTGTGGGAGACGACATGGGCACTGATGGTGCCCAGAGGACCAGGCCAGGGCACAGGTCCCTCCAGCCCTGCCCTGCCTCCCCCCGCAAGTGCCAGGCACCGATGTGCACTGGAACCCAGCCTGCAGCCCAGGAGCTGGACTTGTGCCCAGGTGGCTCAGGATGGACACAGCATCACACCCTTGGCATGCACCTGCACTGGCCATCTGGCAGCCACCCATGAGCACCAACAGGCTCCAGGCACTTGGTCCTGCTCTGCCTGGCTGGGTTGGACAGGGGACCTGGACTTCTGAAGATCAGGGGCTGCGATGCCAACATACAGCTGAGAGGCACGAGGAAGAGGAGCAGGCCCGGGGCCACCTCTGCTGCCCAGCTGGCACTCGACCTGCCTGTGGCCCCTCTGCATCCAGCAGAGAGAGAGGCTAGGCGAGGCCCCTGGCCAGTTTCCAGAGTGTGCTGGGCTGTGAGGAGACCCTGGGGTAATGCGGCACACGGGGCTCCCCACACAGAGCCAGGCTGGGGATGGGCAGTGATGAGAGGTGGGAGTACCAGGACTACAGGGGTAGGAGGCAGGGGAATGAAGGAACAGACATGCAGGGCAGGGAATCCTCTCCCAGCTGGCGGGCACTGGGGGGGACATGGTCCTCCTGAGGTGATGGGGACCCCCTGCTGGCCCCGTGTGCTGCCGGGCCAAGAGCCTGGGTGACACAGGCTTGGGGTGGGCAGCTCCAGCAGGGGTCAAGAGCTACGGCTCACTCCCCAGGTGCCTGCAAAGCTGGGACATGGCCAGGCCACAGCCTGAAACTCAGGACAGATCCCCCACGTGGGCAGCCGCAGGAGCCTGACCATTCGAGCCATCACTGCGGCTCCAGGCTGCTGGCACGGGGAGCCGAGCTGGACTCCTCACAGGGGCTGCCTCCCCACACAGCGTCCCCTCCCTCGGCGGGCAGGGCCCCCAGAATGTGAGAGGCTGGGCCATGCCTTCCTTACCCAGCGGCGGTCCGTGCGTGACCAGGACATCCACGCCTTCGGGGATGAGGTTCCACTTGTCCAGCAGGGCCTGGCCCCGAGGCAGGTTGAAGCCCCAGCCATAAAACCAGGGCTGCCTGTGAAGGGGACAGCAGCTGATTCAGAAGGGGGCGCCCTGGAGACAGCCCTCTGGGGAAGGGGCCAGCCAGGCCAGGGACCCTGCTGCTCCCCATGCCCTCCTCTGCCCAGCTCAGCCCTGAACAGCCACAGCACATGTGTGCCACACATGCCTCTTGTCGGCTCCCTGGCTGGAGAGGAGCTGCTGGGATTCCCTGAGGTCACACCTGTGACCCTGGCATCCCCTGAGCGGGGGTCTCCGTCCCTTGCCACCAGAACCTCAGACTCCTCCATGCATGTGCAACGCCCATAGCAATGGTGCCTTCGGCACCTGCACTGCCCATGTCCACCAGCACGCCCTTCCCTCAGCCCCACGTGGGCATGGAAGCTGCCACCATTGCGCCCATGGCAATGATACCAGGAGCTGGGGCCTTGGGGTGAGGGAGGAAAGTGGTTTTCAGGGAGGAGCTTCGCAGCTTCCTGAAGCAGTCCCTCCTCCATGGGGGCCATGGCGCTGTGTGAGCAGGAAGACCCAGCCAGGCTCCCGACTCATCAACATGTGGGGTCTCAGACGCCATCCCTCCCAGCCTCCCTCCCAGGCTGAGATCAGCACAGCTGCCGCCAGGACCGTGGGAGTCACTGTCCCCGCAAAGCAGCCCCTTTATCCCGAGGACCTGCAACCCTGACCTTACTCCGGAACGGGGTCTTTGTGCTGAGCTCAGGTAAGGCAAGGTCACGGCCCTCCTGGTGTCCACCTGAGCACAGACGCAGACAGGAGCAGGGACCGAACCAGGCGCCCCATGGCCACCGCCAGTGACCCCCAAGGGCTGTGCACTGTGATGGTGCTGCCCAGTGCCTTAACGCAGCCATGGCCTCCCCTTCCAGCCCCCAGGCCCAGGCTGGCCCCTAAGGGTGTCCTCTGTCCTGGGGCTGGGGAAATTGAGGCCAGGGAGGTGCCACCAGCCCATTCTCGTCGCCACTCCCCTGCACTGTCCTTACACGCACCCCTGCACCCTTCTGAGACGTCCCTTGGAGCCCGAGAGTTAAACCTGGGACCCAGGCAGCTTAGTGGGTGCAAGCCCAAGGAGGAAGGGGACCTGTGTGGTTCCCGCCCAAGCCACCTGCGTCAGCTGCTGCTGTGCTTTTCAAACATCTAACCAAGCACTTCACGGCAGGCGAGCCCTCGCGGGTATGGGGAGGAGGCGCGTGCCTGCGAGCGGCCGCAGAGAGAGATGCATTCCCTGTCCCCAGATCCCTAGACCCAGCCCCAGGGGAGGCTTCCTCCAGCGCTGCTGGTCTGCAGACTTCAGGGAAGCACAGCGCTGGATTGCCCAGAGAGGGTGGTTCACTTCTCAGAGTCACACAGCAGTCCCTGGGGGTGGAGGGAGGAAGTGGGGGATGGGGAACTGAGCCCCACCAGGCAGCTGGTGGGAGCAGCTCCCACAGCCCAGCCCCTCCCTGGTCCCCATCACCCGCTGTGTCTAGCTGCCTCCGGGCAGGATGGCAAAGGGCAGTGAAGGTGGCAGCAGATATGGCCCTGGGTGCATCACTTCACATCTCCAATCCTCAGGCCCCTCCCCTGTGACATGGGGTGATGAGGTCGCGGCCCCCAGCACTTGGCCCGTGGGGGTAAGGGGCCTGGCCTGACGTGGGGTGAGAGGACAGCCCCCCAGGAATCCCGGCCACCCCCGGAGGAGCAGATAGGGGCATGTTTCCTAAGCTGCCCCCCAGTGGAGGTTGGGGGCAGCAGTCCCCAGGCTTGGGGTAGCCCAGCAGGTGGCTGCACCCTTTGTTTCCAAAGGGGGAGGAGAGGAGGGTCCTTCCCCAGGGGAGCCCACCACACCCAAGGCTGGTGACCGTGTGAACCCCTCCCATCGGGCGAGATCCAGCACTGTGGGATTGTCCTGGGGTTCAGAGCTCGGCTCTGCAGAGCAGCCTTGGCCCAGCCATCTCCCCGCACGCGGAGGGCTCCCCGGCTGTCCTGAGAGCTGTCCCGTTCCAGCCTGGCCTGCCCGCCTGCCCTGGGAGGCGGCTCTGCAGCCGCGTCCCGTCTTCCCGCTCTGAAGGAACCATCGAAATAATTTCCTTACAGGATGATGGTTACCGTGGCAACCGGAGCAAATTTTCCTTTTCTGAAGCAGATGTCTCATTTAGCTGAAAATTAGAATGTGAACAAACCCCTGGGAAAAATTAATTCAAACTTTAACAGAGCGCTGAATGCAATGCGAGCGCAGCGGTTAACCCCTTAACAGCTTCCCATGCGCCCGGGGCAGCCCTCGGACCCAGCCCATTAAAGCCCTCCCCAAGGCCCACCGGAAGCTCATGCAGGCTCCCCGACAGCACCTGCGGAACACGCCGGAAGCAGGGCCTCCCCCAGGCCAGAGGAATCCGTCTGAGGTACACTCCTCCCCCCACGGCACCTCATTTCAAGGGCTGCTAGGATCTGGGGTGAGGCAGCCTTGAGGGTGCCCCAGGTGGGATGGAGGGTCCAGTGATGTGGCCAGGCCAGAGTGGGGAGAGAAGGCAGAAGGGGCACCCTCAGACAGATGCAGTTCGCCCCCAGCCACACCAGGGGCCAACAGCCAGCACAACCCCATAGTACAGGCATGGAGAGTGAGGGGCACATGGGCCACAGCTGCCTCAGGATACCCTGCTGGTCTCCCCAAACCCACTGCAACATTGGGGTCCCATCTCAGGGGGCAGGGCTCAGCAGCAGAGAGGCCAGAGGCCAGCAGTGTGTCCAAGGACATTCATGGGCGGTCCAGCCAGCGGCCGTCAAACAACCACTCGGGTGCCATGCTCCCCCACCTCCCATCCTTCGGAGTCTGACTAGACAGAGCTGGCATCTCTCACGAGCCCGACTCCGCCATCATCCATGGTGCGGAACCGGCTCAGTGGGGCTCGTTCAAGGTGTTCAGGAATGAATGGAAAAAAGCCGCAGACGCCCCGCCCCGCCCCGCCCCCACAGCAGGCAGGGGAAGAAGATACGTGTCAGCCCCTCCCCTCCTCACCCTCTTGGCACAACCCTCACCCCAAAAGCCCTGACGGTCCCTTGTTCCCAGACAACGACACCAACCCTGACCATCGGCTGAGCCTCCCACCAGCATGCCAGCCAGGGTTCACATGCCCATTTCACAGATGTGACCTCAGAGCCAAACCTCCATCTTGGATTGGGCCTGGGACAGGGAGCAGGGGAGTGGGGCTCAGTGGTGCCACCTCCAATACCCACTTGCTCACAGCCTTGCGGGAGCCCCTGGCGAGACCTGCCTGGGCCAGGAGCTCTCACACCACCGCTCAGCACAGCACTGGGACCTCCACCTTGTACACCGCAGGTTGGGGCAGAGACACCGTCCAGCCTGGGCTGTCAGGTGGTCTGGCCTGGGGCCCCCAGTGCTGGTCAGATGCTCTCAACCCCAACCCCACAGAGCCGGGGTTTCCAGGAAGCACTGCCAGGGTTTTGGGTAAGGACCCACTGCAGGCCCCAGGCCCAGCAGCAGGGGAAACTCAAGCGTTACTCAAGCAGGCACCCGGCCGTGCCAAGACCAGGCCCTGCCTCCAGGGCCACCCCAGCCTCCGCTGCTACCTGTCCGCTCTGCCTGCACCCTCCTAGCGGCTGGGAACGGGCATGGGGCAGGGCGCAGGGGTGTACGGGGGAGGGCAGGTCCACCTGCAGCCACAAGGCACAAGGTTGCCCGCTGTCCGCCGTCAGCACAGGCCACACTGCAGCAGCAGCAAGGAGTGGAGCCACGGAGCAGGGTCCCCGTCGCTCCCGTGTAATCCCCCAGACACGCAGAACAGCTCATCTTTTGTTTGCTGGGATCGTGCGGCGGGGCGGGGCAGGGGAGGCCGCTGACGCTCTCAGACATCCATCCCATGTAGCATGTGTGTGTGCCAGGGCCCTCCATATGGAATGTCCCCGAGACCGGGGGACAGAAGGCCAGGCTGGGAGAGGGCAGAAGTGCGTGCAGTGTGTACATGTGTGGGGCGTGCTGTGTGAATGTGCACATGAGCAGCTGTACTTATGTGCAAACGCATGGATCCGTGTGCTGTGAGGATGTGTGTGTGCTCTGAGTGTGCTGGGCACTGCACGCTGGTGTATACTGTGTGTGTGCTGGAGTACACACCGTGTGTGCTGGACAATGTGAAGGTGTGCCACAGCGGTGCCCAGGGCTAGGAGCCCAGTGGCCCGAGTCTGTCCCCTTCCGGGGTCTGCAGCCCAACTGGGGCCACCAGGCGCCAGGCCCAGGATGCCAGCCAGGACACCCCAGCTGCAGAATACCACCGCCTCTCCCTGGGCACATGATGCCCAGGTCTTGCCATCTGTCCTGGACAGGTGATATGGAACAGTCCCTCTGGGCACCAGGCCGTGATCCCTGGGAACCTGTAAGGAACAGGGAGCCTCTGCCACCGGGGACAGAACCCAGCGGCTGTGACACAAGAGGAGGCTGCGAGAAGAACCTAGATGCTAATCACAGGGCCAGGCTCCTCCACCAGGGGGCACAAGACCCTGAGTGCCAGCCTCGAGTCACAGGCGTCCTCCTATCTGACCCTGGACTGGCCAAGAGCTACCAAGCCAGGGACCCCACCTCCGCAGCCTGAAGCACACGCCAAAGGGCACCCCTCAAAACTGGCCTAGCCCTAACACCCCAGAAACGCCAAGGAAGCCGGGGTGGCTTAACTGAGGCAAAGCCAGGCCCTGGGGACCAGGTCGGGAAGGACAGGCAGGAATCCCCCGAGCCAGGGGCCACTCTAGGGACCTCGCCCATAGCTGGGGAGTCTCCCATTTCCAGAGCAGGAGTTCAGCCTGCCTCCCACCACTCGCCAGGTCCGCTGGGGGCAGCCAAAGCCCGGAGGCAGCCATCAGGACAGAGCCCACACGCCCGGCCCCAGGCCCGGCCCCAAGCCCGGCCGCCCTGTATCCAAGTTCACTGTCTCAGCAGGTTTCAATTCCTCCTTTCAAAATACCAGGAGCGATGGGGCCAGATGGACTAGCTGCATGCCAATTTCACCCTCTCCCTCACTTTTTTTTTCCTCCAAATCAAGGCCGTTCTCAGTTAAATGAGAACAAAAAATGCATCCAGAACCCATAAATGCACGCGGTATGGATGTGGGTTTGTTAACTCTTGGGATGCTGCCACAGCTCCGCTCTCCCTCTCTCCCACGGCGGCCTCGGGGCTGCTTGCAGCGAAGGCCCCACGCTGCGGCTGCACCACGAGGGAGCAGCAAGGGCTGACCGAGCTCTTCACAGCCCACAGTGCCCTGCGAGTGGGGGCAGACAGGAGGGCTGATAGCACCAGCCTTGCTGAGGGTTTCTGCCCTCCTGGCATGCCAGGACCGGGCTGGGGCCAGCAGACCATACAGGGAGCCCGGTACGGAGGAGCAGCGGGAGCCGGGATCAACGGCCTGCTGGCAGCCCAGGACAAGGCCACAGGAAGAACAGCAGCTTCAGGGCCTTCCCACTGCCCAGCACACAGCGGATCACTTATTCATTCAACAAACATCTGTGCTGAACCAGACACTGGTGCTAGGTACCGGAGTGAAGGGCCCTAGCCTCGGGGACCTCCAATGTCCTGGAGGGACAAAGGGAAGAAGCAGATTTCTGGCTGGCTGGGGACACAGGTGGCAGTGCAGAGCCACGAGGTAGCATCTACACACCGTGCCGTGCAGAAGAATAAGCCCACAGTGGGACCCCTGCCTCACACCATAACTCAGCCACTGGACCCAACACGGTGACAATGAAGGCGCGACACAGAAGCCCCGTCCCCCTGCCCCGGCCTCAGGAGGGCAGTGGACACTGGACAGACCCACAGCCAGGCCAGAGAGTGCGGTATGCTCACCCAGGGGCCAGGCCAGTGCATGGGACTGCTGCAGGGACACGAGTTGGAAAAGGGCTTACGGTGTGTAATGCCGTGTGACCTAACACACGGCACACCACTGCTGGCGTGTGCGCGTACCAGTGTGACGTGTGTGGACATGCAGGTACACACACTCTGTGTGTGCAGGGAAGCATGTATGTGGTATGAACACGAATGTGAGTGTGCATGCGAGTATCTGACAGCGTGTGTAGACTTGTATGCATGGTATGAACACGTATGTGGGCTGTGGGGGGGGGGCAGCAGTACGCACCTCAGTGCTCCATGCCAGAACGTTTGTGGCCCTGGTGGTTAGCTCAGCCAGCTGCGTGCCCAGCTCCGCCCCACCCCAGCAGAGCTGACCAGGGCCGCATTCCTGCATTTGGAGAGGCCCAGCCAGGGGGGAGCTCTCTCATCCCTTTCTCTCTGCCTCTCGCCAGCTCCTACAGTCCGTGGTGGATAACACACACTGCTCTCGGGAGCCGCTGCGGGGACTGAACGACAGCACACACCAAAACCTCACACTGGCACTGACCTCGTGGTCCGGGGCGTCCTGGACAGTGGAGCCAGACCCTCCCCCTGGGGTGCAGGTACGTGACCTCCACTGCAGCCTCGGGGCATGGAGGCTGAGGGACAGGCCTCTAGGGCATGGCAACACTCAGCAAAGCCAGGCTCCTGTCACTTGCCCACCACGGCCTACAGGGTGCTGTGCACGGGCAGCCCCCGGGACTGTGCCCATGTGTCCCCATGCACAGGTGAGCTCCAGCTGTGGGCAGAGGCACCATGCCTGCTGACATGGGGGGGAGGGGAGCGAGAAGACACCAGCCCAGCAAGCCTGTGCCTGCTCAGTGCTCCTGCCTGGCAGACCCACCATGGCTAAGGTCACCCATGGGCTCCCGCTGCCCTTGTCACAGCCTGGCTTGTCACATCTAAAGCCACAAGGACCAGACCTGTGCTCGGCCAGGTACCCTGAGCTTGCCCGGAGCTGCAGCTCCTGCTGTCCCTGACCTCGGCCCGCAGGTGCAGCTTTGCCCGAACCCCACAGATGGCACCGCAGCACCCCACGTGCCAGCCAATATGCCGGGGGCAGGGGGCAGGAAGAGGGAAATCCCATCCATCTGAGCTTCAGCACGATCCTCGTCAGCTGTGCCACCTGCACCCTGCCACACACGCCACATGCCAGGGCAGCTGGTGCCGCGGAGCTGCGTGCCTCGTCCGGACTTGGCAGACGGTTGGGGGGCACAGCCCCTAAACCCTTCTCCTCTCCCCCGGCTCAGCCCTCACCCCGTGTCAGAACCGGCAGCCACGTTGGGAAGGCCTGTGACCGCGAGTGGCTTCCTGTAGCAGCTCCTGGGGGAAGACCGCCACCGAGGCGCCCTGTCCACCAAGGGGATCCCCACGGGGCAGCGTCCCCCTGCTCCAAACACAAACTCAGCTGCCCACCCCTCGGCTTGTCGAGGGTCCGCAGCCTCTCGCTGAGGATGCGGGCCTGACAGCCGTTCAGGCTGAGCTCCACAGCACTGCTCAGGTCCATTTCCTGGCCCCGTGGAAGCAGGCCATCAGCTTGCACAGTAGGAAGCTCAGTGAAAGCCATGCAGCCCACAGCCCGGCTCCCCGAGGCGCCCGAGGCACTCCACAGCCTGCATGGAGGAGGGAACGCGGCTGCTGGTGAGCAGTGGGCACTGGGGCGGCTGACCGGCCCAGGCATAAGTCGCTGGGTCCTCTCCTGCTCCTCTCCTCCTCCTGTGGAGACCACGCCCCCTCCAACAGGGAGCCCTCCTGGATCTCCCCAAGCCCTCTGGGCTCAGCTCTCCGTCCTGCAGCCACTCACTCTAATGCGCATGCCCCTTGTGGCCCAGCCCACCCACCTGCTGGCTGTCCAGGCCCACCAGAGCCGGCTGCTCGGGGGGAGGCCCCTGTCAGCCTCGTCCCCGCACCCACGATCCTCTGTTCCACATCCTGGGCTCCTAGCCAGGCCACATGGGAAGGACAGACGGGAAACTGAGAGAGCTGACACCTCAGCCTGGGGCCGCCTCCCCACCCCACGGACGCCCACTGGCACGGACCTGACCCCTTCCCTACACCCAGTGCCCTGTGGTCCTGCAAGGGCCAGTCAACATGTCCACCTGTATAATGGGATGAAACCAACCCTGAGCAAGGATTAGCAGTGACATTGTTGGAGCCTTTAGTTCATGGGGAATTGTCCAGAAATAATTCGCTGCCGTGGCCGCTATCACAACGAGCATCAATCATCGTCGCGGTATCCACCACTGTCACCATCAGGCCAACGCCACTCCCACCGACCCCATCCATCCTCACCACTGCCCTCCGAGGGCCCCCGCCATGCAGACCCCCGGACACTCACCAGGGAGCGCCGTAGACCCGGAAGCCGCGCACCGTGACCTCTGAGTCCTGCAGGTAGACGCAGTTGGTGAGCAGCGACTGCACGTTCTCGTAGTTCTCCGGCTTCAGCTTGGACACGGACGGGAAGTAGTAGAAGTCCTGCTTGATGAGGTCGGCCATGAACTCCTGGTCGAAGGTCAGCTCGTGGTTGCCCGCGATCACGATCTTGTACTCGTAGGGCAGGCTGCCTGCAGGGACAACACACGCACACACGCGCACACGCACACACACACGCACACACACACACACACACACGTTGGCACGGGGCTCCATCGCACCTGCCTCAGAGCCCTCTGTGGGGACAGAATTCCAGAAGCCCCACAGCTCCCCACCCCGAGGCGGGCCTGTCTCCTGGACACTGAGGCTCCCACACGGGAGCAGGCCAGGGCAAGGCAATGACGCCGCTGGCCGCATGGCACATGCCCTTCAGCGTCGGCCACTCACCCCCACTTTCCAATTTAATCACAATCAAGAACCCGTCCAGGCACTCCTGCTCACACCCCTTCCGGCTATGACCTGCACAAGCCACCCAGCCACGTGTCCAGCAGCCCACCCACACAACATCCTGGGATCTCACAACACCGGCGGGCTGCAGGTGTGAGAGGACGTACTGGCCAGGGGCTCTCGGCCCCGATGGGAAACGAAGCACAAGCACCTGCCCTGCCAGCGTCTCCCACGTGACAGAGGACACAACGCGGGGACACACAGCGACTTTTACGTTAGCACGGAGGTTACCCCACCGCTGCAGTTCCAGCATCCACACAAGCACCGTGCCAGTCTGGCTGCTCTGACAGTTCCCTGCAAATGCCCCTGGCAAAGCAGGGGCTGCCTGCGTGTGGAGCCCCTGTGCCCACACGGGAGGGCCAGAGCAAGCTCCAGGCTCCTGGCTTTGTCCTGGCCCGGCCAGCTTTTGTGGCCATCTGGGAGTGAGCAGACACTGCCGCTCTGAAACTCTTGCCTTTCAAATAAATGTTTTTTGAAAAGTCAGCTTCTCTGGGCCAACCTGCCCACAGTCATACTGTGTTTGGCACATTTTTATTTATTTATTGTTGCTAGTGTTAAAAATTTGAGAGATGCCCAATCAAACTTCATCCTTTCTGCTTCTAAACGCAGCATTTGGCCATCCTGGCCCGGGCAGGAAAAGCTGAGTGATGTGTCATCTGTGGGCGGGATAAGCAGGTCCTCTTTGCCACAAGCTCCGCTGGCCTCTGCTGCCTCACACCTGTCCACTTCACTGCCTGCGGTACTGCCCACCCCTGGGCAGTGTCAGCAGTGAGTCTCACACTTGTGCCAGCGACAGAAAGAAAGGGCCAAGTTCCTGGCACGTGGTGCTCCCTGCTGGTCCGGGGGGATGGGATCGCCGTGCCCATCCCCGGCACTCCCCCTCACCACAGCCATCCTACTGGGCCAGACTCAGGGGTTCCTACTCTCTGCTTGGGGTGTGTGAGCTGGCACAACTGGGAGACCCACTGGGCCTAAGCCGCCTCCGTGACCCACAGAGTCCACGCGCGGGCCTGAGCCGCTTCTGCGACCCGCAAGGACTGCTATCCTTGTTTCATGCCTGGCAATGGGTCGCCCTGGTTACACAGGTCAACAACACAGCCATCAACAGCCTTAGTGCCCGAGGGATGCCAGGCAGGTGGGTAGGGCACAAGCATACCCAGACAGAGCATGCCAGCAGGGGTGGGGAGGGGGGCTGCATAGGGGTGGAGGGACAGACAGGTGCACATGTATGCGTACCCACCGATGCAGTGAAATATCCCAGTGCCCAGCAGGAAGCAGGCTCACCCTCTCCTCGGAAGCTGGTCCCTGTTCTAACTCGCCTGCTCAGGTCAGCTCTCCAAGGCCTGGCTGGGCCTGCGCTGTGACCCAGCCCCTGGCTGAGGCTCTGTGGGGCATCCAAAGGTCGAGTGCCAAGTCAGTCAGAGACAGAGAGGGGACGGACTTGCCCAAGGCCACACAGCCAACAGGGGATACCAGGCCTGGAACCCCAGACTCCCACCAGGCTCTGGCAACAGGCTGATCTACAGCCATGGTGTGGCCGGGTAAGAGCAGTCCGGATGGCTGGGCCAGGGATCCACGCTCCCAACCTCAGACGGGGTACCAGCTCTTCAACCACAGACCCCTGCCTTGCAGGACCGGTCGGCAGACACTACTTCGTGTGGGATTCTGTGTGAGAAGGCCTGGCTGCCTTCCCGGCTGGGATCCTCGCAGATTCTCAGTGACTCAGAGCTCAGGGAGGGGGAGGATGGGGGTCTGCTCTGTGCTTTGATCCCTCGCTTGCCCAGGCAACCCAAGCTGCAGGAAGCCCGTGCAAACCTGGCAGAGCAAGATGGACCCAGCTGGGGCCAGCTGCTGCACGCACCTCACTGCCCAGCCCCAGCAGGTGCCTCCCAAGCATGTCCCTCCCGCACATACCCCAAGCCTGCACGCTCCCTCCGCACAGCGCCATCCATTAAACCCAACCAGCTCTGCGCCTGTGCAGTCCGGCAGGGCACCCACACTCTCCAAACACAGGAGCTGCAATCAGACAAATGCCCACTTAACGGCTCCTTCCGCCCAGAACGCAGCCAAGCGGGAGGGAATAAGAAGCCGGTGGAAACGCGTCTGATGGCGTGTCTAGAACATCCTTGATCGGTCTGTGTTCCGAGCCGTGGAAGATCTCTCTCCTACTGACCCAAAGGGGTGCAGGTGGCATCTGGGGTGGGGGTGCAGGGTGGCCAGCCACCTCTGGGAAGTGCCTGGCATCTTCCAGGGACCACATAGAAGGGGCAGGGGAAGAGTCAGCCTGCTGCCCACTTGGCGAGTCCCATCAGGACACAGGTTTCGCCCAAGGGAGCCAGGCATCCTCCCTGCGGAGGGACAGGGAAACAGCGGGAGACAGTCAGCAGGAGGCCCACTCGGCGGACGCTGGCCACTCGCGCTGCACATCGGAGCTGTTGCAGGGATGAATCCCACAAGCACGGCTCAGCCAGAGGCTGGGGAGGGAGCTGAGGCCCAAGGGGACAGGGTCGCCTGCCTGGGAACACATGGTGCCTCCCGGGAGTTGGACTCTGCCCACCCAGTGCCCAGGGACCACACCACGCAGGCCCAGGCTAGCAGACCCTGCCCCCGTCATGGCAGCTCTGCGCGTCCGATGTGGGAGGCTTCTGGATGCTGGCCACCCACATCTAAAAGGCAAATGCGATTCCTCTTCTGCTCAGTCCTAATAGCCCAAATGTTTAACTCGGGAACATTTGCTTTTCCTGGGCAATGTTTGAGCAACAGGCACACCCAGTCCCGACCGTCTGCAACTGCTGGTCTCTGCCACCTCCGCAGGGCACACGGGCCTAGGACTGGACATGCCAAGATCTTCCCCCTCTAAGAAACAAGGCTGCCGGGAGTCACAAGCGATTGGGGACCTACTACCTGGGAAGCCACCGCAGGCCCCTTAGTATCCCTCGGAGAGACCCCAGCTGGCAGCCATCCCCTGGGAAACCCGCACGGAGTTCCAGGCTTCTGTGCTGGCTCAGCCCAGCCCAAGCCCGGCACCCGCTGTGGCCATTTGGGGAGAGAACAAGGAAACGGAAGATCTCCCTCCAACTTTTTACTCTGCCTTTCAAATACATTTTAAAAATCAATCTTAAAAAAAAAAAAGAGGCCAGGTGAGGCTCAGGTCACTCCCAGCTCACTGTGCATTGGGGCCAGACCCCTCAGGCCTCCTTGTACCCCTCTTCAACACAAGGAGGTGAGGACCACACCCAGCACCCCTGGCAGGTGTGTGCGAGGCTGTGAACAGGACTCCCTGGCAGGACCCACAAGCACTGCTTGCTGGAATCGGCCCAGGCAAGCAAGGGGAGGGGAATGGGCAGGACAGGCCCACAACCCAAGGGTTGGAAGCTGGGGAGAGGCCCAGCTTGAGGCTGCAGGGAATGGCAGGCCCAGGAGCCAGTCGGGGGCAGGAAGGACCCAGGCCTCCCCTTGTACCTGCCCCATTCTCCCAAGAGGGAGGGGCTCTCCACAAAGCCTCAGCAGGAGGGGAGGCGAGAGGCAGACCACTGGAGCCACGGAACAGCAGCACAGCCCCGGTCCCCCACCCGGCAGTCAGCTCCGTGGGCCAGGCTGGGACAGACAGCAGGGAAGTGGGTGAAGATGGGTCTCGGAGGAGAGCCAAGAGGCCAGCATCAGAGCTCACCACCTAAATGGGCGGCTCCCGGGACTGCGGCCAAACCCACACGGCACACTGATACCATATACACACACTACACAGGTGTCCCACACACCATACACTACACACATGTGCCACATACCACACACTACACACTGTGTATAGTACACACATACAGTGCACAGGTGTCCCAGGCACTGCACACATGTCCTACACACCACATCCTGCACACACAGTACTCACAGAGAGGGCTCAGAAACACCCAGATGCCTGGGTCCTCCACACACAGACACACACACACACACACACACACACGTGTCTCAGAGAAAAAACAACGCAAACTGGAAGAGGTAGAGGCCAAAGAGGAAAAGAATGGAACCAGAGAAAGGGGGGCTGAGGCAGGAAAAAGAAATCGGGCCCTCAGTGAGATGAGAGACCACTGCCCCCATGTTTCCCAGAGCACCACTACCTAACACTACCTAACACTAACAGGCGCTCTGGGAACAGGCAAGCACGGAGCAGGCTTTAAGGCCAGAGCTATGAAGCCACCCCAGGGGACACACGGGAGAAACCAAGAGGACCCAAGGAAGTCCAACCTCTCGCTTGCTCTGCCAACTGGGTCACGGTCAAGGCAGATGTCAAGGCAGGAAACCCAGCTGGGCCACTCCTCCGCGGTTGCAAGAGCTGTGGTCACTCACTCAAGCACTGGCCTGGGCAGCCATGGAGGCCATCCCAGCTGCCAGGAGTCCCGGAGACACCTCTTGTGTCACTGGCAGGTGAAGACAGGCAAGTGCCTGCCAAGACAGGTGGGAATTTGCACAGAGAGGTGGGGATTCGAACTCAGGTCCACCAAGGCCTGTGGCTTCTCCCTCTCTGCCTCTAACCCAATACTCCATAATGGTCCAAATTCGAAACTTTCTGAGAACTGACACAAAGCTACAAATGGAAAGATCCGCATCACGACACACTGATGCGTGGAATCGCTGAGAACAGGAGGACGTTTGGAGAAACTTGTGAGATAATAGTATCAAAAAATAATCT